CTCCCCACACAAGAGACACACAGCTGTGTGTGGGAGCACGGGCTGTTGGGGGAGAGGGGGACATCAGGGACCCCAAAAGAAAGCAACAGGGGAAAGACCCTTCCTTCTAGGGACTCTGGCCAGCTGCTGGATGAGCTGATTCAAAACTCATGGGCCAAACTGGGTCAAATCCTGCATTTGCTCTTTTTTTGGCAATATGACCAGGAGCAACTTATTTAACCTTAAATCTCTGTTTCTGCATCTGTAAAATGGGGCTACCAACCCTTCCCTTGCAAGACTCTTGTTAGAATGAGATAACACATGAGGAGCATTTGATACACAGTTATCATTGCTACAATTGTTATAGCAGAATCCAGGATCAGTGTGACCCTGAAATTATAAATTGGCATTGAGGAGAGAGAGACCACAGGCAAATGTGGCAATAATACTCAGAGAGGCCTGGAGAATATGTGGCAGCAGCTTGGGGCTGATTCTGAGGTTGCTCAAAATGGGCAGCCCAAGGGTTGCTCTGAATCCCACAATGACCCCAGTTTTGGCAAGACCCTTGGGAACATTAAAGGCGACTGGTTAGTCCTGGGGAAAACAGGAGCAGACTTCAGACAATGTGACTTTGAGGAAGACAATGGTAATACTGAATCACTTCAGCGATGCTGCAGGATCAAGAAGATGAAGATAGGGGAAGAAGGAAAAGCAAAGTCAAGCAAGGGGTTGGGATCAAAGGAAGAGAAGAGGGGCAGAGGGCTGAAGAGACTGACCAGGAAAGAGTGGCTGGAGGAAAAAAGGAAGGTGGTGGTGTGGGGAGGGGGATGCAGGATGCAGCTGGCTCCTCATGGCTGCTGGGGAGAACACTCTGGAGCTCAGGGTCACTCAAAGGATGAGGAAGGCAGCGTGGAAACCCATGTTTCCCTGATACCTACTGTGTGCTGGGCCTTGTGGTAGGCACATTTACATCCAGGCTATTGTTTAATCTCTACAACTCAGCAAAGGAAACATTTTACAGAGAAGGTACCTGAGGCTCAAAGTGATTTGCTCAAGGTCACACAAAGGCTGAACATGGTCTCAAATCCAAGACCACCCTGGGTGAGGAAGAGGCCAGAGAAGGGCAAGATCTGTTCAAAGGGGGCCAGCTCTAGGGATGGGTTCCCTTATGCACAGATGCCTGTGAGGAATGGTACAGCAGGGACTAAGCATTCTATGGGTTTGTGCCCAAGAGCTGGGAAAAGCGTGAAGGCAGGGACTGGGTCAGATTCTTCTGTGCACTCGAACATTGCCCCCAGCATGGAGCTGAGAACGAAAACAGACATTTAAACAAACCAGTAAACGAAGGAAGGAAATTAATGAGTGAACAAACAGCAAGTAACTCTACAGTACATTCTGGGAAGCAGGGTCCAGCCATCCCAGAAAGGTATTGGGACAGCTGGGGAAGGGTGGGCACAGCTCACAGGGGCCCAACTCAGTGGGGACAGAACTCACGGCAGTGCACTGCCGGAGCAGGCACGACTGCTTCATGCGCCCAGGCCCCCCAAACTTCTTCATGTCTCGGCAGAAGTGGCAGTCCCCGCACTCAGTTCGCACACAGGCCCGGCAGCGACGGCAGCGGGTTCGGCGTCGGCGCGCTCCGGCCCCCGGCCCCCGGCTGCTCGACGACATTGGGGGCGTCAGCAACGCCGAGGGCTGTGGATGGATGGTAGCAGGGTCAGATGGGCCTGCTGGAGCCCGGGGACTTCTGGCAGCTCCCCACACCCTTAGGCAATCAGAGATTGCCCTCCTCTTCAGGGGGACAACAAGGTCACCCTCTGTGTGCCCACTCCATATATTCAAGGCCCCTCTCTCCCTGCAGCAGCTCAACTGAATCCTCTGGAAGCCCCAGGAGCTGGCTTCCTGACCTCACTCCTCATCTAACAGTTCCTCAGTGTCCCTTTCCTAGAGCAGGGAGGAGGAAGGGACACTCAGGCCCTCTCTTGACATCACCACACCAAAGCTCCCTGGAAGGCCAGGCGCTCCTTATTTGTGGTGTTACCTCAGAGAGGTCCCAACCCTTCCCCTGTTATCCAACTGTTATCCAAGCCAGAATACCCCAGGTTCTCCTCAAACTACAAGTCCCCTAATTTACCTCCAAGATACCACAGATTCCTGGGTGGAAGCTCCAGACTTTTCTTTTTCCCTCTCTCTTTCTTATACGCAATGGCCATACAATCTTTCTTCCACCCAAACTAGATATCCTTACCAGATCCAATAGGATCTTTGTCCCCAAAACCCTAATGATCCACTCTGCCCCCCCCCAACGTCCTGGGGCTCTGACACACCCCTAAGATGCTTCTTCAGAGTCCCTTCTCAGCCTGAGATCTCAACTCCTCTGTTCTCCAGAGTTCCCTCTCCTCCAAGAGATCCTCCTCTTAGATCTGTCAGGTCAATCCGGGCAATCTCCCAGATTCCCTGGAATTCTAGAATCCAACCTGACATCTCCACAGAACTCGGGAGGGGCTCAGTCTTAGATTCCCTCAGCTTCCCAGGCTGCTTTCCATCCCTAATTGTCTAGAATCCCCTGGGATCCCTTTCCCATGGAAACCATATCCTCCAAGATCCCATATGGACTCAAAAGGCCCAGAGGGTCTCTTCCTGGTCAGAGTCTTACCCCAGCTTTCCCCTTTCCAGGGACTTCCAGACCCATCATGGGGATAAGGGGCCCTCCAGAGCTCCAGGGGAGGGGCCTGGAGGGCGGCGACTGCAGGCGGGATGGGGGGTCTGCAAGGGGAAGCAGGGTCTAGGAAGGAAGGCCAGTTCCCCAGGGTTGAGAGGTAATGGGAAGGGAGGCTAGAGGTGAGGAGTTTGGAGCACAGAGAGGGTGAGGCTGGGGGTGGGGAAGGTGGAGAGAGGCCGGGCTGAGGATGAATGGGAGTGGGAGCTGCCCAGGTCTGGGGGTGAGGAGGAGCCGCATGAACCCACCTCACACGTGTCCCGGGAGCCATCTCTCCCTTCTCGGCAGCTCCCGGCGGGTCGGCGGCCATCGGCGGCGGGGGGGCCGGGCGGCGCGGGGCGCGGAACGCTCAGAACGCCGGGGTCCACGGCCCCCCGAGGGCGCTCGGCCCCTCCCTCCGGCGGAGGCCGGGACTGCGGCGAGTGGAGATGGGGGGCGCCGGGGGCGAGGCCCTCCCACGGGCTGCGGCGCGGCCCTTCCAGGGGGAGGTCCTGCTCTGGGGGGCTCAGTCCCTCAGCCCCCCCAGGCCAACGGGGGCTCCTCGGGCGCAGGGTGCTCAGCTTCTGCCCGGACCCCACTCAGTCCCGGGTCCGAGTCCCAGCTCCCCTCCCCCCACACCGCCCCGCCTCTCCCCAGCGCCCCCGGCCCTTTAACTGGCCTCTTCCCGGCCCCCACAGCCCAGGGGGCCAGGACCAGGCCTGGGCCCCCCACCGTTTCCGGGGTTCAAGCCCCGCCCACCGCCGGTTCCCGGGGAGGGGGGGGTCGCTGTAACCTGCCCCCCTCCCCTGGGCCCGCCCCTGGACTGCGGCCCCCTGCCCTACGGCTACAGAGCAAGCAGAGGGGGGTGAAGGAAGCAGCTCCGGCCCCGCCCCCCCAGCCCCCGCGCACCCCCGCCCTCTCCCCCCTCCCCCCAGCGCGCGACCCTCGGGAGATAGGGATTTAAATAAAATTTGAATAAATCCCCCTCCTCAAGCGGGAGGTTGGAAGGAAAGGATAGAGGGGGACAGGGAAGGGGGGAGGGGGCAGTTGGGGTGTCTCAGCCCCCCTGGTCCCCCGGCCCCGCGCTGCTTCGGCCCGGGGCCCTGGCTGCCTCTCTCATCCCTCCTCAGCTCCTTCCTCCTTCCTCCTCTCTTCCCCTCCCCTCCCTCCTCCTTCCCTCCTCCTCCCCTTCTCCTCCTCCTTACTCCCTCCTTCTCGTGGAAGAACCCCGCCCCCTGCCCCCTCCTTCGTCCACCACCTCCACGTTCCAGGAGGAACGCTCGCAGGGCACGACGGGAGTTGTAGTCCTGCGGACACTGAAGCCACGACAAAAACAAAGGGACGCTGGGGTCAGCAAGAACTACGAACAAGATGGCGGAGGGCGTGCCACTCCGGGAGCCGAGGATGCCGGGAGTTATAGTCCGGTTGCCCTGAGGCTCCCAGTAGCAGAACATAGAGAAGGAGCGGGAACGATGACTACAAACAAGATGGCGTTCTCCCCCGACCCGACCTCCTTCCCAGGCGCTCACACGCGCTCCTGTCCACAACCCTCCGCGTGTGTGGTACCTGACGGGAGTCGCAGTCCATCTGCTGCCTTCCCGCTGCCATTTCTACTCGTCAGGAACAATGGAAAGGTGAAAAGGAACGAGGACTACAAGCAAGATGGCGGAAGAGGGCCATACACCTGACTAGCAGTCGATCTTACGAGGTGCGATGGGAATAGTAGTTTTCTAGCCTTCTAGTGTTCCTTAAGAATGGCCGAATCAGGAGGATAAGGAGACTACCATAAAGATGGCAGGCTACCTAGCTTCTCCCGGTCTCCTCATTCTACCACCTTGGGCACCTCGCCCGCCTGTGATATCGAAATCCTCCCCAACCCCCCGTGGCGCAAAGCCTGACGGGAGTTGCAGTCCTCCGGCTCTCCTCTATTATCTTCAGTCCAGACAATGGCAGGGAGTGGGGCGGGGACTACCGGCAAAGATGGCGGCCGAAGGGCAGGGGACAGCGATGTGGGACTTGTAGTCTAGGCGCTAAGGCTATTCCCTGCGGAAATGGGGAGAAGGACTACAGTAACGATGGATGCCTAGCCACTCGACCTCTGCGCCAGTGCCTGCTGGGGAACGTAGTCTCTTCCTGATTTCTACAGAGAAAGGACGTTGGCTGTAGAGATACGCATCACCGCCGACTCGCCAAATTGCTAGCCGAGGGAAACGGAAAATCTTTCCTCCTCTCCCCACCACCGCCTCTGAACAGCCTGCCGGGAAATGTAGTCCCAAGTTTTCTCTCGCTAGTGGAGAGGGAGACGTTATGTCACCAGTGGAGGTCAGTCCAGGTGAAGGAGAAAGACGTCCGGGTGATCCAGCAACATAGAGTGTCCACCTCGTGCAGCGAGGACTTCCCATTTCAAGGAAAGGCTCTTAAAGGAAAGCAACAGTAATTACTATTGTAGCGACAAGGGAGGCGTGGTTGTCGCCGAAAGTACGCTCACGCTGTTATCCCTTGGAAAGCGTGGAGGTCTCACATTCGATGCGTGTTCCCACAAAACTACAGGGATCAGTATCTCACAAGTCTTGAGGGCTCCAAGGAAAAGGTTCTGGAGTCATACAGAATCCCCACCCCTCCCCACGAAGTCACCAAACCTCGGTTTTCTCATCTGAAAAATAGGGATAATGGGGATAATGATACCCACCTCGAAATAGTTAGGAGTGTTAAACAAGAAAATGTGCTCATCACGAAAGTGCCCAGTCCTGGCATGGGGCATGTGTTGGTAGTTGCTTTTTCAAGGTCCCTTCCAGCCCAGCCGTTCTGGGAGCCCGGGAATCCATCATGCCGGACGGAGTTAGCTCCTGTGAGAAGAAAACTGTGACCGGCAGGCTACCCCCTTCTCGAGCCGCCCTCAGCCCCTCCTCATCTGGGTCCTCCAACGTCCGCTACCGAGCACTGTTCCCAGGGGGCGCTCATTCTCCATTTGACTGAGGTCTTACAAACTGGCCAAATTCCTCAACCTGAAGTTGCAGGGACTGCGTGCTGCCCAGCCCATCCCCTGCCTGATTTCCAGTCAGCCTTGGAGACCTCCGTCTGGACGCTGCAGCTGCCTAAGCAGATGGGACTGTTCCCCACCTCCGTGCCTTCTTACCTGCCTTCTTGTTCGTCCTTCACTGCCTGGAAAACTATTCACTTCTGACCCTGAGGCAGCCCCCTCTGCTTCCCTCTCTCTTCTGTGTTTGGGGGCCCTGCGGGAGGATTGGTGGGTGTGGTTTTTATGTCAGGGAAGTTAACACTTGCCAGTGTGGTGTGAAGTCCCAAGGTTGCAGCAACTGGCTTCAGGCTGAGCCGAAGGAAGCTCCTTGCTGCTCACATTTTATCAGACAGAAAATATTGGCTCTTAGGGGATTGTGTCTCTCCTCTTTGTCCTTGCTGCTTTCACTTGGGCTTGCATGAATGATTGCTTCAGGGCATTCTCAGACTGTTCCCTCTCTTCCCTCTCCCTAATACGCCCTTTTGCCCAGCTCCCACCTTACTTCTCCACCGGGTTAACTATTCATCCTTCAGGTATTTATTTATTTATTGAGGCAGAGTCTCACTTTGTTGCCCAGTCTAGAGTGAGTGCCGTGGCATCAGCCTAGCTCACAGCAACCTCAAACTCCTGGGCTCAAGCAATCCTGCTGCCTCAGCTCCCGAGTCTGGGACTACAGGCATGCCCACCATGCCGCTAATTTTTGTATATATATATTTATTGGTCAATTAATTTCTTCTTATTTTAGTAAGACAGGGTCTCGCTCAGGCTGGTTTCGAACTCCTAACCTCGAGCAATCCGCCCACCTCAGCCTCCCAGAGTGCTAGGGATTACAGGCGTGAGCCACCACGCCCGGCCCAGGTCTCTATTTAGATGCTAGTGTCCCAATAAAGCCTTCCTGTAATTCCAGGATGAGATTCATTTATTGTCTCTTCCACTAAATAGGAAGTTTTATGGGGAATCTACTTCACATGTTACTAAGTGCTTTCAGCATCTCCTTCTATCCTCATTAGAATACTATGAGGTAAAATCCCATTTTATTTACAAGGAAACTGAGACCCTCAACTATACAGAAAGGATGAGTGGTAGAGCCAGAATTCAAACCCAAGACTCGAGAGCCCGTGCTCAGAACTACTAGAACATCCACAAACTGATCAGATCCACCCATGTGTGTATTAAGTTTGGCAACAACAACAAATTTCTTTTTTTTTTTTTTGAGACCTAGGCATGGAGGCGAGGCGGGCGGATTGCTCGAGGTCAGGAGTTCGAAACCAGCCTGAGCAAGACCCCATCTCTACAAAAATAGAAAGAATTAATTGAAAAATATATATATACAAAAAATTAGCCGGGCATGGTGGCACATGCCTATAGTCCCAGCTACTCGGGAGCCTGAGACAGGAGGATCGCCTGAGCCCAGGAGTTTGAGGTTGCTGTGAGCTAGGGTGACGCCATGGCACTCATTCTAGCCTGGGCAACAAAGTGAGACTCTGTCTCAAAAAAAAAAAAAAAAAGTGGATTTCCAGTTCCTAGCAACGCTGGGCCTGCATTCTTGAATAAGAAACAGCTGGAACTGAGCAGTGGCTGCCCCTTTTGGACAAGATGATATGCTCACTAGTTCCCCACTGTCTCACCTAGCTTCCTTCAGTCCTAATGCAAGCATTATTGGCCCCATTTCATCAATGAGACAACCAGAATAGGCCTATTGAGGACCAAGACCATTTCTTATATTGTGTATAGCCCCTCAGTGCTGGGCTGTGCCTGCACCAACAGCTGGGTGCATAGGTGGATGGCAGGGTAAGATTGCATATAAAGATAGAGGAAAACTTTTTGCTTTATAAGTGAAATTGTTACCATGAGCAGATATTATTTGCGTACTTAAAACATGAATTGAGAGGCTGAGGCGGGAGGATAGTTTGAGCCCAGGAGTTTGATACCAGCCTGGGCAACAAAGCAACATACTATCTCTAAATAAGAAAAATTAGTTGGGTGTGGTGGTGTGCACCTTTAGTCCCAACTTCTCGGGAGGCTGAGGCAGGAAGATCACTTGAGCTCTGGAGTTCAAGGCTATGGTGAACTATGATTGTGCCTGTACTCCAGCCTGGATGACAGTGAGATCCTGTCTCAAAAAACAAAAACAAAAATATATAAGTTGAAAATACTATAATCCAGCTATGTTGACATTAAAATATAAAGACCTCTTTATACCTCTTCGAACATCAGTGAACTCAGGGAATATAGCACCTATAAGCACTTTTTCATTTGTGAAAAGATGATATTTGTTTTCTGTCTTATTTCTGCACTTTGTTTGAGAACTTTTTTTTTTTTGAGACAGAGATTCGCTCTGTTGCCTGGGCTAGAGTGCCGTGGCATCAGCCTAGCTCACAGCAACCTCAAACTCCTGGGCTCAAGGGATCCTCCTGCCTCAGCCTCCGGAGTAGCTGGGACTACAGGCATGAGCCACCATGCCTGGCTAATTTTTTCTATATACTTCTAGTTGGCCAATTAATTTCTTCCTATTTTTAGTATAGACAGGGTCTCGCTCTTGCTCAGGCTGCTTTCGAACTCCTGAGCTCAAGCAATCCGCCCGCCTCGGCCTCTCAGAGTGCTAAGATTACAAGTGTGAGCCACTGCGCCCGGCCTGTTTAAGAACTTTTGACTTAAGACTACTTAGTAGTAGTTGTTCCCTATGCGAGGGCCTGGGCCAAGGGGCTGCAGACCAGTTTCAGAAACAGGTCTTGTCATTCAGTCTTCATAGGGGAGCTGCTGAAAAGGAAGACCCCTGCCTGCTACCTGGAATGAGCACATTGAATTGGGCAGGGGGCATTCATCCTGAGGTCCCTTTTTAGCAATAGCTGCCCTTCCTTCTCAATCTCTTCTGGATCCAGCCAGGGTAGGCTGGGGTATACTGCTGTGGGGGGAGGTCTGCTCCCTGTAGTTGCTCAAGAAATCAAGATGAGTCTGGGCATGGTGGCTCACCCCTGTAATCCTAACACTCTGGGAGGCTGAGGCAGGTGGATTGCTGGAGGTCAAGAGTTCAAAACCAGCCTGGGGGGGGGAGGGTATATACATATATAATGAGTGAGATGTGCACTATCTGGGGGATGGTCATGCTGGAAACTCAGACTTGTGGGGGGAGGAGGGGAAAGGGCATTTATTGAAATCTTAAAATCTGTTTCCCCATAATATGCCGAAATAAAAAAAAAAAAAACCCCAGCCTGAGCAAGAGCGAGACCCCGACTCTACTATAAATAGAAAGAAATTAATTGGCCAACTAATATATATATAGAAAAAATTAGGCCAGGCGAGGTGGCTCACACCTGTAAACCTACCACTCTGAGAGGCCCGAGACGGGCGGATTGCTCAAGGTCAGGAGTTCAAAACGCCCTAGAGTAGACGAGCGAGACCCCATCTCTACTATAAATAGAAAGAAATTAATTGGCCAACTAATAAATATAGAAAAACTTGGCCGGGCATGGTGGCTCATGCCTGTAGTCCCAGCTACTTGGGAGGCTGAGGCAGGAGGATCACTTGAGCCCAGGAGTTTGAGGTTGCTGTGAGCTAGGCTGATGCCACGGCACTTACTCATAGCGCTGCGGCAACAAAGCGAGCTCTGTCTCCAAAAAAAAAAAAATTAAGGCAGGCATGGTGGCGGATGCCTGTAGTCCCAGTACCTCCCGGGAGGATGAGCAGTAGGATTGCTTGAGCACCAGGAGTTTGAGGTTTTTGTGAGGTAAGTCGCTGATTGCCACGGCACTCACTCTAGCCTGTGCAACAAAGGGAGACTCTATCTCAAAAAAATAAATAAAAATAAAATAAAGATTAAAATATAGTCGATGTGCAATAACTTTAAAATTGTATATTCTTTCAACCACTCTGATTGTCAACCCTATTATGGAAAATTTCAAGCACACATAAAAGTAGAACAGTATAATGAACCCCCATATCCATGTACCCCGTATCCACTTCAATGTTTACCAACATATGACCAGCCCAATATTGTCTTTGCCCGCTTCTCCCCCTCCTCCACTGTATTATTTTAAAGCAAATCCCAGACATGACATTTCACTTGTAGTAGTATTCAGGATATATCTCTAAGAGATAAGGACTCTTTTTAAAAACGTAATTATAGACATTTGCCCATCTAAATAATGATAATTCCTTAATATCATCTAATGCACAGTCCATGTTCAAATTTCATAAATGTCTTTTTACATTTGGTTGATTAAAATCAGAATCTGCTAGGCATGGGTAGCTCATGTTTGTAATCCTAGCACTCTGGGAGGCTGAGGCGGGAGGACTGCTTGACCTCAGGAGTTCGAGATCAGCCTGAGCAAAAGCAACCCCCCTTCTCTACTAAAAATAGAAAGAAATTAGCCAAACAACTAAAAGTAGAAAAAATTAGCCGGGCATGGTGGCACGTGTCTATAGCCTCAGCTACCTGGGAGGCTAAGGCAAGAGGATCGCTTGAGCCCAGGAGTTTAACCACTTCAGTACCAGTGTCGACTATAGTTGATAGCCACAGATGAACGTGCACAGTGACTTTAGCTGACAGCCGTGATATGACTTTTCTAATTATTCATTTATCGAAATAAAATTGTGAACATTTACAAATAACATAATGAAAACATATATGTATATGTTACCTATTCTGATTTACATTACAAGTAAAGCTGCCTGTAAAGTAAAACAAGCTTTCAGTGCTTTAAAGCTTTCCTCATCACACAAGAGCAAAACGGATTGGTTGTCAATGCACAGCACAAACTATCGTGTAGACTGTGAGTGCCGGCTGTGGGCAAGATTTTGAAGCCGGTGGGCGCCATACTGAAGTGGTTAAGGTTGCTGTGAGCTAGGCCGACACCATGACACTCTAGCCTGGGCAACAGAGTAAGAGTCTGTCTCAAAAAATAAATAAATAAATAAAAATTAGCTGTGTGTGGTGGCATACACCTGAAGTCCCAGCTATTTGGGAGGCTGAGGCAGGAGGATCACTTGAGCCTGGGAGTTGGAGTTTGCAATGAGCTATGATTGTGCCACTGCACTCCAGCCTGGGCAACAGAGTGAGACCCTGTCTCTAAGTAAATAAATAATCCCAATCAAGTCCACATATTGCATTTGGTTGTTGTAGTAAGCAGCTGCTGACATGACTCCAAATTATCCCTGTCTCCTGGTTTCCCCTCCCTTGAATGTAGGCTGGACCTAGTGACTTGCTTCTATAATGAAAAGAATTGACAAAGGTGATAGGATGTCACTTCCAAGATAAGGCTATAAATGACTGTGACTTCCATCCTGTTAGCCCTCTCTCTGACTCTTCTTGGCTTCTGATGAAGCAAGATGTCATGTTGTGAACTGCCCTGTGGGGAGGTCAGTGTGGCAAGGAACCCAGGGCAGCCTTCAGCGAACAGCTTGGGAGGGCCTGAGGCCTTCAGGTAACTCCTGAGGGACCAAATCCTGCCAATACCACATGAGTGAACTTGGAAGTAGACACTCTTGCCCCTAGACATAACTACGGCCCTGACTGTGATTGCAGCCTGTGAGAGCCCCTCAGCCAGATGTGCCCAGATTCCCCACTCACAGAAACTGTGAAATAAGGGTTGC